TTGCTAAGCTCCGGCGGGGCAGGGGCCTTGGTGCGGTGGGACTTAGGGCCCCTGACCACCTTGATCCATGCCCCTGACTGGATGGATTGGGAGGTCCTGGAGTCCTCCTTTGTCCTGGTGGTCTACCCTCTGGCTCCTGGGGGAGAAGGGTCTGGCAGTAGGAGTCGATCTCCTGCTCACAGTCCCTGATGGCATGCAGTCTCTGGACTGTGGTCTGGAGCTCCTCCAGCTGGTGCGCCAGAGACCCCAAAAGGGAGCAGACCCCACACGGGGAGGTGGCCATGCTCTCGGGCCCCAGAGCCTGAAAAAGGGACAGGCAGCCCCCGCAGCCACGAGCCAGGGGCTCCGTCTTCGTGGAGCCCGGAACCACGGCCTCCATCTGGGTGGCAGTCTCTGAGGTGCCCGAGGGGGTGGGGGGGCCACAGAGCCCAAGGGGACACTCAGGGTGCGGCGCATGCCCATCCGTGTCATGCCTGTGGTAGGCTGTCTACAGCTGGGACTGTCTACCATGGGGGGTTCGCAGGCAGGGTCTCGGGCCCTCCCGTGCGAACTCCGTGCTAACTCATGCACCAGCAGGCAAGTGTGCCTGTTTGCGCAGCCTGTTCGCATGGCTCCCTGGGGGGCTGGGCCAAGTAGGGGCCTGGGCGGGGCTTGACCCCGCCTGGCTCCATGCAGCTGCTTCCTCCCACTCAGTGAGGGGTTAACCCCTTATCACCACGGGCCCTGCTTGCCTCTGGCTGTGTTGGGGGTTGGCGGGGGGCTCCGCAGCTGCTGGGGGGCTTTGGGGGAGCAGGGGCGCAGTGGGCTTTCACCCACATGTCTCTCGCCACTCTGGAGCCTAACTGATTGATAGTGCACTATTGGCCCTTCAGGAAAGCTGCACCCAGCGAGCACGCACCCTGCCCCTGCCTCCCGCACAGATCTGGGGGGCGCAGGCTCTCCTCGTCTCCTGGGAGTGTGCACTGCCGCTGGGAGCTGGCTCTGCACCTGCTGCCTGACCCCACAGCAGGCAGGCAGCATGGGGGGAGCCAGCTCCATGCCCCTTCTGCTGCAGCAGCCACCTTCTGTTGGGGGCAGGGAGATGCAGACCTGGGTCCCTGGCCCCACAGCCCTGGCAGCTGGAGGCCCTTTCTGGCAGGGCTGGGGGGCCCCTCCAGCAGGACTGTGGATGGGAGACGAGGGGCATGAGCAGGACTGGGGGGTTGTGGGGGGAGTGAGGGGCATGAGCAGGGCGGAGGGGCTGTTGTGGTGGGGAGTAAGTGGCATGAGCAGGTCTGGGGGGGAA